AAACATTTATAAATATCCAGAAAAAGAACAACCCAAGGAAAGCTAACAGGAATTAGCAACTTTTGCTTCCATAAATAGCAGGTAAGAACTCTTAACGGAAACATAAATACGCACCAATCTTAACTCATCCTCCATGTAATGGTAACAGAAAAAACACTGTATTTTAAAAATAACATTTACACCATCTTCTTACTCATTCTTCATACTGAACAGCTCTGAAACCATTGCATTTACAATTGCATATTAAGTTTCAAGTAAAAGAGAGCCTAAATGATGCAATGAAATGAACAGAATGTGTTGGGTTCAATACTCCTTTATCAGTAGTGCCAGGCATACAAAATGACTGAAAAAATGCTACATTGTACCATATTAGAATACTACCAGTGGCACAGTAGCTCAATCAGCAGCAATGTAGTTGTAGTAAGTAATCAATTATTGATTTTCTTATTTTTAATTCCATGTATTTACACAGTTCCATTATGGGTATATTTAGGACTCATTTAATCTACTACAGAAATACAAATGTGAAAGTACCACATACCAAATGGGAACCCAAGACCAGTCAAAAATATACATGAATGGTCTCTACCAGTACTAAGCTCTTACATAAATTGAGGCACATTGCTAGTTTTTTCAGTACACGGTAAGCAAACAAGACCACTTGCACTGTACTATCCAAATTTGTGGTAACCAACACATTCCTTGAAGTAAGAAAAGAAGAAAATTTTTGTGTAAGAGCAACATTACTCTTAGGACCTTTACACACCTCCGTCTCTCCCTGACCTCTGATGTTGAGGACACAGTGCCAGAAGTAGCTGTAGTCATGGCTGTGGTAGTGGCTGTAGCATTTACAACAGATGGTGCAACAGGAACGGTCACTGCTGTAGGAACACTGTCCTTTTCTTTCTCAGTACTATCCTCAGCCCACAAACGATTTGAGGTACTACAGCATAACAAGCAGCAACACAAAAAAAGAGAAAAGGAAACAGCTAAACAATGAAAGCACTTTACTAAACAACTAGTAACATGTAAATTGAGGGATGGATTTTTTTTAAAAGCAAACTGAGAAATGTCTCTACTATGAAGGCTCAACTTGAGCTGTTAAATTGAATACATTAAGAATTAGCAGTTCACAATAATGGAACTTTTATTCTTTGCACCCTTCTAACATTCAATTTAGTCTTTTATACCAATATGGCTGTCACTTTACAGTAGAAAGCCATTCACAATTTTTGAGCCAGATTGTACAAAATCAAAACAAATTTAACAAGAAAGTGAAAAAATCCAGAGCCCCAGGATCTACTAAACAAGAACGCATGCACAAACATAAGCACACAATAGACCTGACAAAAAAAGAAGAAAAGAAGTGTGCTGGTGCCATTACCTGCTTTGTACACCTGCTGAAGTAGAACCCGTTGTACTCTTTGTAGTAGTGTTTGCGCTGGCAGGCAGTGTTTTCTGAAGACCAGCAGAAGAGGTAACTGTTGATGCAGTACTTGGAACATTAGAACTAATCAAATCATCTTGTCTTCTACCAAAGGAGCCACTGAAGGAGAGACATGTACAATGGATGCATTTGTATTAAGTACCTTTGCTCATTAAAATATCACGAAGCTGTGAATGATCCATTAAACTCCTGCCTGTGTATGCTGTGTCTCAGTTCAGTCTCAAAAAATTCTCAGGCAAAAGAGCTATTTTCTTCACTATTTCCTTGACTAGGACTTCTAATTTATTACATCAGAGGGCAGAAGTGCCCCTTAGTCCTGACCATTTCTCCACACAAAGAGAAGATAAAGAAAGGAATCTCACTGGTTTATGTATGACTGTCTTAATCACATCTACTGAAGTACGTATGCAGATGGGGCCCCCAATATCCCATTTTTAAACTGCTGTTTCACCCACACTGAATACCTCAGAAAATGCAGAATTTTACTCCACGGTTTGTCAGAAATGTCGTCAGTATCACTCCTCTTATAATTTCCAACCAATTAAATGTACTGCTTTTTTTTAAGTCATCCCCAGAGAGATTAACCTCCCACTCAGGCTTTTCCTTTGCTTTTCAAGTTGTAAAGGAGATACAGTGGTTTCCACATTTTTATCCATTGGTCCTTCCTGAGCAAATTTTGTATTACCAAGTCAGGATGTTTTCCCATAACTAAATCTCAGAACCACAGTTAAGACAGACATAACATCGTATTACTAACTGCAAAAGATTTAAGGAAAGCTGTTTCTTTCTCATTCTGCAATGGAATTTTTTCTATTACTGTCAATTCTATAATGACAAAGAAAACATAACTGTACAAGAACAACTAAGGAAATACACCGTTAAAGCACTATGTGCCATTTAAACATGATGAGTACATTTTGTTTGAAGCCTGGAGCATAAATATTGATTAAAGCAAACATGCAAAGATTGCTCTCATGTATCAACTACTGATATTTTCCATCCAGAACAGGAAATCTGTGCATTATCTTTCCTAAACCTGAAGTTAGGAAACTGAGGAGCTTTTTAAGATAGGAGGTTCACAAACATGTAAGACATGTTATGTATGTTGTGCATGAACCAGCCTGTCTGCATGTCACTGACATCATCAATGTCAAGGCTAAATAAACATTAAGTAGCACATACATCAGCAGTACGTATCAATATGCAGCTTAGCTACCCAAATCTTTTTTTTTTATCTATTCAGATTTAGGTACTCATTACTCCACTGATTCCAATGAAGAACTTTACTCAAATAGCTACATTGAAACTACACAATGGAGTAAAGTCAATCATCTCTGTATTTGCACGATATGATTCCCTCTGAGAATATCCTGCAAGACAGGAATCACACACACCTGAATTTTCCTATTGTCATTTAGTCTGCATTCAAGTTAGCTTTACATATGCATTCCAGGATGCCAATATTCACCACAGGGATGTCTATAATCTACCACTATGCAGAGCAGCCCAAGACCTCCAATACTGTTCATGCAAAAACCTAAAGTCAACAGAGAGAGTATTTTCCCCCTTTTCTTTTCAGATACCAAGCAGAATTACGCATATTCCAACATTTAAAATAGTTATCTTTGGTTACTGAACTAACCTGGAAAGAGTCAAATGAACCTCAAACTGAACTAAACAATAGGGAAAAAGGAAGCATATAATTTTAATCATATAGCAGTTTCTGCAACACTCTAACCTAGTAAAAATGGTGTAGCTTTAAAATCAGCATGAGCACCACATCAGCATAAGTACATAGTTTTAAATTATTAACAACATTTCAACGTGTTAGCATTCAAGTTTAAACTGTCCTTATGAAATGATTCAGTACTTAATTTTTTGGACTTTTTTTTTTTCATTTTTAAGTTTATCTTGATAAAAGAAAAAAGCTAAGAGAAAATCCCACACCTTCTTTGATAACTTGTGTTTAATGATGTAGGACCTTCATTCAAACTGTTTTTCTTGACATCTTCCTCCCATTTTCTCCTGGTGTAGGAACTGCCACCACGTATTGAGCTAGCAGACAAGTCCCTGTAAAAAAGATTTTAGTTTCGCAAACTCGTATTAAAGAAGGTTGCTCTTGATGTGAGCTGAAGAGACGTTTCAAATTAAGGATTAGAACCCTGGATAACACACTTAAAATAAACAGAATCATAAGAACAGGAATAAAATGACCTTTATGGATAATAATTTCCAAGCTCCTGTGGAAAAATACTACATTCGCATTAACACTGTTAGAAATGTAATAGAAAAGTAGCATCAAAAGAAAAACTGCTAAAGAGTATTAGATTGACATTAAATCGACCATCAGAGAGAAACTGATTTCATGTAATTTTTCATTCTTACATGTTATAAAAAGTTCAGCAGCTGACTAGAACTCATGATACTGTAGACTAGTATAAACAGGCCTGCAGTAGCCATTCCTGAGCGGCCTGTCACATATCACTAGCTGACATTACCTTAGTCATAAAGAATTTCCAGCCTGTTGTTGCAGTTTATAGCAGCAAGAAATAACCTTGCAAAAATCTACTTAGAAAAACCACCCTGAAAACTGAGACTGAGATGAAAAACCCCTCAATTTCTAATAAAAATGTCAGCTCAAGATTTAAACTAAAGTTCAGACAGAAGGAAGAAAAAGAATGTCTTTCACAAAACTATACATAAAAGGCAACCAGGTGTGTGAGGGAAAAATAAAACAATGTTTTGTGAAGATGTATTTTATGTTCAGACACCTTTGGCCTTCAGAATGTATCTGTTTTTGCACATGAATTTATGCTAGCACTTTATGCTACAGTTGGAAATAACCTTAGAAAAGCATCAAACACAGGCCAATGTGGTTTTTTTACCACCCAAATGTCTTTTCCACCAATGTCTTACCACCAAAGAAAACTAATTCTGAGGCATGATCTACCTTAGAAAGGTTCTGCTGAATGACAAGTTTTTCTTAACTACTAAAGGTTTCACTTCGCCAGGACAGTACATACTTCATCACTTTTGCTGTAGCACTGGCTACTCGACAGGCTGGATGTCTGAGATTTATTAATCTAACAGCCCAGCCGAGATTCATCTTGGATGTCCTTTCCATTACTCACAGTGGGATGTAGCTGCATTACACTACATCATCAATAAGCTAAACAAGCAGGTGTTCAGACAGGTAGAACAAGAACCCAGCATCTGAGCAACAAGGACAAAGATCTGGGACAAAGGCAGAAACCTTAACAGTTTATTAAAGTAAGGCAGATGGTTAAATTCTACATGTAAAGAAGGTCAGGCTAAATGCCAAAAATCTCTTATGGCTTCAGGTAAGCAAGCTGGGTTGTCTGCCACATCATACACTAGGCAAAGTGTTGGTGCCTAAAAGCAGACTTCAACTCTGGTTCACCAAGGAATACAGAAAAGTTCTCAGATCGACTGGTCAGCACAGGGACTAATGAGATTGATGACCCAAGTTCACCCAATGCATATGAGGAAAAACATGCTATCGCTGATATCTCATTTTGGAACTGTGTCTGTGAATGGTTAAGACAAGTATATCACAGACACAAACCTCAACACTGAAGCAAAATTTAATCCCTTTGTTACAAGCAATAACAGCTTCTAAGAAATAAAACCGAAATATTTACCCCAATCTTAAGGTATCATCTAGTTAAGACACTTACAGAGATCAAGAGTTTTTGAGAAGATCTCAAAAGAACAAAAACTGAAATAATGATAATCTCTCTTATAAGTAAACCCCAACTGACAAACTCAGCCTCAAAGAATATAGTACTCCAGAGAATGATAAGCATAAACAGAAACTCCAAACTGCCCTGTTGTAGACATATAAATTAAAGAAATCTGGTGAAGTAACATGAGAGATGCTACTTAGGGGAGCGTGAGAGCTAGAATATCCCTGTTTCGAAACAGAATTTGTCACCCAGAGACTGAACTTCGGCAGCAGTATCCTGCAAACATAAGAAAAAACAGTATTTATCTTGTGCTTGTGCTGAAATGAACCATTCTCAAGAGTAGGAACAAAGAATCTCCTCTTCAGACAGAAGAAGATTTATCAGGCTTACAGACAATGATTACAACAGCACATTTTGACCAATGAGAGTATTTTCAGTTCACATCATCCAACATTCAGCTATCTAGATTTGATCCAACAGAAATAAGGCATTAGGGAGACTTCTAAGTTTTGTATTATGTATTCTACCTTAACTCAAGAAAATGTCCAAGTAGAACCTCAGTAAATAAGAGAAGTGAAAAAATGGATGGTTCTGACAATGTAAATATGCCGTGGAAGTCCCCCAAATACAGGTAACAAGTCTATGCAACTAAACTTTTTGTTTCTTTTATACTAAAAGCTACAGAAGAAGTATCAGCAAAGAAAGTAAAAATCTCCAAATGAAGATGAAAAATCAACATATAAACAAGAAAAAATGCTTTAGTAACTTAAATTATGATTTTTGTAAATCTTTGCTGCTGCCCAATATAGTTTTAAGCAAAGACTGTAAGAAACACAGCATTTTATTATTATCAAAAGTAACAACGGAGCCCAGTGGCAGCACTTTGAGGCTCAAGTCCAAGCAGTAAAATGCTTTTAGCACCCTCCAGTAGCTTAAAGTTTACAACTTCATGCTTTGGATCTTATTTACTTTCTCCCCTAAGATGACAACACTCATTGCCCAGTTATCCTCTTGTCATAAAATAACCTGGATTTTAAAAACGGTAGTTATAATCTACAACATCAAAAAACGTCAGGATTATCATATGGATTAGCATGATCTATAGAGCATTTTCTTAAAATCTGTAAATTTGTGAGCCCCTCTAAAATGAAGAAATTTTATATTTAATAGAAATTATAACTTCAGAGTCACCTGTTCTCTTTTTCATCAATGTCAGAGGTACTGGCCAGTCGTCTTGGTATTGTAGGTGCAACATATGCAAGTCGAGCTCCTTTTCCATCTTTCTCCTGAAACACATGTGGTTTTTACTAAGTGTCACTATAATTGATTATACTGCTGTTGGCTGGAAAATCATCATTATGACAACTTCAGCTGTATTTATTGTGACTTGATTATACAAATGAGTTTTAAGCTTTAATTAAATGTCATACGGCCTACGTCAGGAAAAGGAAACTATTCATATTTTCATTCTAGTGATGCAAGTGACTTGATTTCTCTCTTTTCTACTTTACTGCAGAACAATTCCAACACTGATTTCTGAAAGCAATTGTTTTGGTATTTTCATATAGTATAGCATTATTCTTAATCCTGGAAACATTTAAACATTTCTACCTGAAAACATAACCAAAAGTCCTATGCTGTTCAGTTACCTGTTCCAAATTAGTCCTTCACTTAGTTCGGTATTCATGTTTAATTACAGACCCATACTTCTGTAAATAAAAAAGTCCATGGAATACACAGGACTCCTTTTTTATAAGATTCTTCCAACATCACTCTCCACGTGATGCCCAAACTATCAAACCTCTGATGTCCCTTAACTGTAAAAACTACTATAAGCATTGCAAGTCCCAAAAAGGGAAAAGCCCCAGCCCCATGTACCACAATGTAACAACACAGGTGCCTACTACTCTTTTAAAGAAAGTACACAGAAGCTGTATAAATTAACTTTTTTGAATTTTGGTAAAGAACAGATGTCTTACTTCTACAATTCATCACAAACATCTATACTAAATAAGGTAGATAATTTCATCAAAATTTTGTTTCAGACCTAAAATTATTACCTTTTCTTTGTTGTCCAATGAAGAGGAAAGTCTAGGACTTGAAGCAGAACGCATAACACCTGCAGAGTCCTTTTCTTTCTGAGCTTCTTTGGAAGCAGTAATCTCTGCAAGTGCACCATAACTACCAGTTTTTCTAAGACCTAGCCTCCACGAAGCAGGAGATTCATCTTTCCTCTCTTCTTCTTTGGGAGAAACCTTGGTTGTAGATGTTGGAAACTATAAAACACATGTAAATGATTTTATATTATTAATTTTCATTACCTGTGGTAATTTATGCTCCTTGCGGAGATTTGAGAACACAACTCTTTTCAATAATCATAGAAGTGTTGACTTTTTAGGGGAGTTGTAATAAGACATAACCTACACACTCCCCTCTTTAAATTAGTGAATAAGAAATCTAAGACTGGTCAATGTATACTACTCCTCTAAAAGTTAGCTTAGAAAAACCCACACTTTGTAATAACACACCATGATCAGGAGATGCAAACTTAGAAACATGCAAATCCAGTATCAGCATTTTGATTAAATATGTTATTTTGCAACCTGTACACAAACCTGTGCACACCAGAACCTCACCAGAGATTTTTCACCCTTATTGGGCACAAGAACAATGCCAGTTTTGCGCAAGCCCTGCCTCCATGATGCAGGATCTACTGACTCCACGACAGGCATGATAGGAGGAATGAAATCATACTAAAGCCATTTAAGACAAGACAAAGATGAAGATGGAAAGAATGGAAAACAGAAACAAAAGGTTGTTTTAAAACTACATAGTTTCTTCCTATGTTTATGTTATGTTACAACATAAAATACCAAAAAGCAGTAAGACTTAAAACCTTAGTAACAGATTCTTATTAAACACAACACAGCATGTTTAGCTAATTCAGAGACAGAATTACAGTTTGCATAGAAGAGGACAGCAAAGCCTGTTGACCTAACAAGGTTCATGGCCTAAATCCTCGTATGGTTGAGAATACTGGAAGATTCACAATATTATACCTTTTATTTTCTTATCATATTTCATTCATATCCCTTAATCACATCCCATGCTAGCTTAGCTACCAAAACCCATACCTTCACTCCCAAACTCACCGTACTTCAGTATACTTCAGTACCCTCAGTCAGAAAGCAGCATTACTGAATGCCATATAGACTGAAGAAAACCCAGATTCAAGATTAGTACACTGCATCTGCACCACTTGTGAGCAACATAGGGTTTGGCCAGCTGTGGTGTAAAAGCAGAAGAGTAAGTGCAGTAGCACAGATGGTGCAAACATGAAAAGGCAGGTGCAAGAGTATGTACAAGATCTCACATGCACTGCTGTTTTACCTTCAGTAGTAAAACCAGTTCAAAGCCTTTTTGCTCATTGATATGAGCTGCAACTGCTTCTCTAGATCACATGTACTTGCTATGTTACAAGATGATTAGTCTTGATATAAATGTGCATTTATTTTGTATCTACAGAAGACCTCGAACTTTTCACATTCAGTTTTAGAACGGTAACTCATTTACTTTTAGCCTGCACCTTTCACCTTTAAGACCAAAAGATAAGCCATTAATTGCTGCATAATAAAATTAGAACAAACAAAATGCCAATGTATTATTGATTTATAAAAGGTTACTATCCAGCTTAAAATCATACTTATTTCTTCTTAGTATTAAAAAGCTTGTGTTCTACCCCTCCACCCCCCGACCCCCCTCAATACATTGCCATGTACAATACAATCTCATACAAAAAAATTATGTATACTTGATCATTCAACTCTGCAATATCAAGCCACACCCCAGCTAGCAACATTCTGCTAATGTCCTATTGCTGAAGGTCATATAACTTAGAATGTTTTCGCATAATATGAAATAAATAGATTAAGAGGGACAAGCTAGGACACTTCTGACTTCAAGATGAAGTTTAGGCAATTACAAGAAAAATGATGTGTTTGAAGTGTTAGGTAGAATCTCCAGCATTCAAAGATAATTAAGTGCAGTAAAAAAAGTGGGCAGAGAACACATCAGTTAAACTGCCCAACTGCCACAAATGCCTGTGCTACTGAAGTGATTTTGAAAGATAAACTGTACAAAGTAGGCGTATTTCCTTGCAGTAAAATTCACGCTATATATTTGAATTTATTCCAGCAAGGCACAGTTAGCAAACCAGCAAATTACTCATGATGTCTTCCCTCCCTCATCCATTTGCTACAGTTTGTATGGAGAACTTGTACCTCTTGAGTTCTGCACAGCTCCTGAGCAATGCAAACACACTCTCAGGACAGAGAACCGTAATTCCTCACTGAGCCAGCAGGCAATGTTTAGATGAACATCACAAGATCACTCTGGAATCTAGCTGTCTGCCCAGTCACAAAGTTCAGCGAGGGGAAACAGCAGTCATCCCTGCCAGTGAGCCATGCCCACAACTCCCCTTTTGCTCTCGTGGCTTTTTGACATAAATCTTGTGGACATCAGTCACAATGACCTTCGTAAAGCAGCTCTTGGGATCAGGAAGGTTGGCCCAGTTCTGTTGTACAGCATCACATAATATGACACAGTTGGGTAATATATTCCCTGTATCTGTGACATAAAAGTATACTTTGTAAGATGAATCATCGTTAGGTTCTATTATGAATATGAAAGTAAAACTCCAATAAGCTCCCAGGAGCTAAATACAATGCATACTATTCACCCAGCAGTACATCTTCTCTCTCTACTCTCTATACACAGCTACTAGTTCTCCTGAACATGCTTGCAGCACCAGCCGAGGATTACACTTTGGTTGTGATGTGTATAGAAAAGTTGTAACGATTGAGAAATGAAGCCTTACTAACTTAGTACCCAGTTTGCCTTGATATTCTGAAAGTTGGACTTGTATACCACCTTCTGACTGTGCATTTTTATCTACTTTTTTTTTCAAAGCAGATTACGTATCTTTCCTTTTGCAAGCAAAACTAAAAATCAGTCCAATTAACTTTTCACATCAAGGTCTAAAAAGCTTCCTGCACACAATATGCCTTTGTTAGATATGTTTTTGAGCCGTGCATCGAACAAAACGTGTCCCAAACCTCTAGCTCTTCCATGAGGTCCTAACAACACTGAAATCAGAGTTGGGACCTATAGCAGTTTCTACTTATTTCTGCTATCTTTTTCAACTTCTGCACCTAAGTACTAGCTGAACGCTTTTAAGAACTCCTGAAAGCACTTCAGTCATGCCTACCTTCCTAGCCTTAAGTGCATTGCAAATACAGGCACAGACACTAGAACTGCAGTTTCTAAAACTTTTGGAGGAGTCTGGCATAGAAAAGACTCAAAAAATGAAGTTTAGCTTCAAAGCTTCAAAAAAGCAAGAACTCCACTCACTGCGCAACAGATTTTTGCTAAAAAGATGTTCAGCTGTTTCATAGTTCTGTACATTGCACCCCTGTTTAGAATCAAAGCCATTCAAAACTTTAAAAAGTTGAACACAGTTTCTGCAGAAGAAGACAAAATATTTTAGGAATCCATGCATATTTTCATCAATTCACTGTGTAAACCTATCCACTCTTTATACAAGGATCAAAAAATGTCTGCTTGCACAGAACAGCAATCTAAAATCACAAGAAAGGTATTTTGTTTTACCTTCTTAACAGGTGATGTAGGTGCCCCCTGGCCACCAGCTACTGATGGTGCTGTCACAGCTACTGATGCTGATTGTGTACTTGTGGTATTTGCATTATTAGTTACAGCTGCCAAGGTTTTGGTCTTATCTGCAAAATATTTACAAGATTTTAATTTTCATTCACTGTTTCTTCACTTCTACATGACAGAGTCTAATATCTTTTGAACAAATTTGACAGTCAACTTTCCAAACAGCATTTTACTATCTGTTCCTCAGGGTTTTCCCCCTCACTCCCAATCTGTATGTTAGGTCCATCTTTTTTTCCAGAACGGTCATGCACGTAACATTTTTTTGTCATTCAAACTCAGAGATGCAGATGCAGAAGCAAAGAACCATTCACATTGAAAGTGACCTCAGGAGGTAATCTAATTCCACCTCCTGCTCCAAGCACAGTTAATGTTGTGTACGGACCAGGTTGCTTAGGGCTTTCATAAGTCAGGTCCTCAAAACCTCTACAGACAAAGAGTTCACAGCATTCCCAGACCGCCTATACTTTAGTAGATGGCTCACAACCACACAAATTTAGCAGCAGGAGGTATGTTGACATGTAATAGTTAATAAGAACTACAGAAGGTGCTGATTCAAAGTATTTTACAGTAAACTAATACAAAAAAATCAGCTTATGTGTCTAACTGCTCTTAATGGAAAGTTCTTTTTAAACACAAGTGAAAATAAATGGTGGTAAACTTCTAGGTCATGGTGATAAAAATTTCAACAGGGCAATGAGGACTGAGAGTATGATTTGAGATGATGCACAGGCAGATCTGCTGGAAATTTGCAAATGAGTAATTCAGCTTTAAATTATACAGGAAAAGTTATCAGGAGTGGAAGGAGAAAAATGGATGTTTTTTTACAACTGTATTCTGAAATTATTTCTGATAAATTCCGAACAGGACTGCAAGAACATAGTTGTGTACATGACTGAGCTAAAACTGACTTTCAAAAATCCACTAAATTACCTCAAGCAAAGTAAGTTAACAAACTTGAACTGCTGAAATTTGCTTACTGCCTTTAGGAGATGTGAGCTTCATATTCAGATTTCCCTTCTTGGTCTTACAGACAGAAATATATTTATTTTTAAACTGTATTCTCATATAATCAATGAAACAGAATGCATGTTTTAGAAAAATATTTCAAACTTCCCAATAGGTTAGAAATCAGAGATTCCAGTACTGCAGAATATTGAACACTGCTACAACCGGAATGCTCCTTATAATCTTATGATTTTTCACTAGAAAACTGCCTTACGCTGAATAATGGGAAAAAAAGGGAAAGTACAAACTTGGAATTTAGAGATGCAGCTCTACAGGGAAAAGCTTGAAGTCTAGCTTGCCAAATAAAGTATGATAAAGCCTTGTTGATATTAAAAACCCCAAAGTTTACATAAATTAATTCTTGTGTCACAGTCATATTTTCCTGGCACGAACCATCTACTGGTAACGAAGAGAACACAGTTACCAGAATCATAGAGTTCAGACATTACAGTTAGCTCAGTGACCGAGAAATTACTACGTGTTATATTTTACAAGTGTTTTGAGATTATCAAAGCTCGGTCTCTGTAAATAAGGGACACAAGTATACTAAGGTGAAAGACTAATTACAAAGCTTGACAGATGTTTTTTTCCAGCTTAACAATGAAATGCTGGTTTATTTCAAAATACAAAAATAATTAAACCATAACAGAGTTTGGTTTCACAACTTATTTTTATTTCTGCCTACATAAATATTTGTGTTATATTGGTTAGGTCTAAAATCCCTCCTTAGTCTTATCTTTCCAGGTGAAAAAACTAGGAAGAATGTTTAAAAATAAGGACAGATGACTCACCAAAAAGGGTTACTTATTTTAAAAGCGTAAGTATAAAATATAAACAAGGTATTTCTAATGACATCTATGCCTTTGTATTGCATTGCTGCACCGTAATTGTAAAATCCTTTATTAGGTTTGAACATACATCTTGAAACGTTAATCACCTGATAGTTGTTTTCTGAGCTGAAAGAAGATGCTATGCTGTTCTTAAATCACTACTTGAAGACTGACAATTGTTCAAGAAAAAACCCACATAAATTCCATTGAAGACAGAATTACAGAGTATGTGTTTCTTTGCACACAATTCCAAATTTTTCAAAGATAATTTCTCTTGAAATAAAGTATATGAAGTAACTGCTAACACTCAAACAGTACATTCAGAAGTTCACTTCAGTGCACAATGAAAATATATGCACCATTACCTTATGAATACCTGAGCCAAGATTGCCAGATTAATTGGTAATCACTTCAGGAGGCAAGAAAAGATGAGAATGTTTGCACTTCTGCTGTTCCAATCTCTACACCAGTTCCAAAAGCAAACACTGCTATGCAGCCTTCATTTCTGACTTGATCTTCTGATTTCTTTGATGTTCTCTGACATACTACTTATATTATTCCAACTATTTAATTAAAAGTATCAATTGTTAAGTAGCCAATCAAGTAAGTAAGTTAATAACTTTAACCCAAGTAGCCACCAGTAAAAACATCTATACCAACAGACGTCTGTGGGACATCTCTGTTATAACTTGACTTTAGACATAATATAAACTTGCTTTAAAATGATTGGAAGCTTAGAGAAATGCTTAGAAGAATAAGTGAAACTTAAGGTAGTTGACTCTGGCTCACGTGATGTTAAACAAGTAAACTTATAAAGTAAAAACTTAAAGACAGACAATACTCCAAATAAAGTACCTGTCTCTGCTTCAGATTCCGAGTCATCATCCTCTTCCTCTTCACTAGAACAACTGGATTCATCCTTCTTCCCCTCTTCTTCTTCATCTGCTTTTTCTTGCTCCAGAGACTCTATGCTAGATGCATTCTTTTCTTGCTCCATAATCAGTGTCTCTTTACTGAGTTTGAAAAGAAAAATACTTAGTAAGTCCTGAAAATATTACTAAAGCCCATCAAGTAGGATTTTGTGACAGCTTGTAAAGGTATCTTTTTTATTAAGAGATTATATTTTTTCCTAGTTTACTTACTTTTTGAATGTTTTCTGTGTCTGGTTATTATCCATGTTGGCTGTGGATTCAATTAGGGGAGATTTCTTTTCCCGTTTTTCACTATGAAGCTTCAAAACATACAGAATGATACAGTTAAATTGATAGAATGGTATCAGTGTGAGAAAATTACAAAGGGGGGGAAATCTTCTCTAACTGCTACAAACACCAGAATGTGTATAACCTTTCAAAGTATTAACGTTTAAAAATTCTAAAATCTCAGAAACTGCTATTTAAAGTAAATTGCTCAATGGTGATGCTTCAGATCAAAAAATGCGCACTGGACAATGCAAGCAGAAAAGCACCTTCTTGCTTTCAAGGCTTTTTGTTCACCATTATTGACTGAGCAAGGGCATAAAAGAACTTTTGAGGTTACTGTGGCATTACCTGAATTGAAACCCTAATTCAAACCTTTATTTTTAATCTATATGCTGCTGAACTGGATACCACAATTATATGCATAATAAAGTACAACATACATATATATATACGTCTTTATATGCAAAAAGCCTACCAGATTCTGTTTCTTTTGTAATTCTTCTAAATATCCTAGAATATCTTCATCTGCCACATCAAATGCTGTCTGTCCCTGGAGGGGGGGAAGAAGTAAAACACCATCATTGTACAGAAGGATTTAAATGAAATGGATTATGATGCCTTATCACATGATGATGCAGGGATGGAGCACATTCAGAGAAAGAAATTAGAAAGTATAAACCAAGCTCTATCACAAACTGTTAGTCTACCAGTAGTTGAAAACAATTCTGCAATTTTACTTTTTTTGGGTAATTGAAAGAGAAACATCTATACCTGATGAGCAAATATGTTTTTTAAGAGATAAAATCAAGACTTCAATAAAATTTTGCTGTCCTTTGAAAAAAACCCCTCCAAACTATCAAGGAAAAGTAGAATGAAAGAATACAATTCTCACAATACTAGTTCCAAACAACTACTCCAATGGCAGTGGTATGGATCGATCCTGAGCAGTTCATTATCCTGTCCATCATAGACTACCATATACAGCTTGATTTTTTAAAGTTTCAATTATTTAAGCAAGCTACACTTATCTTGAGTAGTCAAGCTTTCACATTTGAACAGTAAAACAGTATTTTACATTTTACATTCAATTTTAGAAAAGATCTGCTACAACCATTTGTTCTCATCCCCCCCTTTAGTCTGACTTCTGTGGAATATATACTTGAATAAACAGATCATCATGTGATTCACTAACACACAATAATGCTGTCAGCTGGAATTTCTACAGCTTGCCATATCTTACATCTATATAGTCCCCGCAATTCTTGACTGGACCAGATACCCACAGGACATGAGATTCTATCTTTAAGGTTTGATAAAGATTGGTAAAGATTTCAAAACTTCCCTTTCTTCTCTACTTGAAGATGAGAAGGGCTGAAGCTCACACAGGTTCACAAAGAAAGCCCAACTTGCTTTGATACTGCAATACAGTGTGTTGTATTTGGACGTTTTCATTCAAATACAAGGTGGCTGGAATCTAGGGAAAGTCCTAGATTCACTGACACGGTATCAATGCAGCTGCATCAACACACTAGGTGGACATTCAGAAATGCTGGGAGGATCAGGACAAAATCAGTCAAGTAAGTACTTCTATACAATACCTAGCAATAAAGACAGAGCTGTCATTTAAAAATGGTCACAGCAGCTTATAACCATAAAGGTGTTTGTATTTGTCTGTGCTTGTTTCAGTTTCTCAAAACGTTAACTAAACACAAACGTATACCTAATTACACTGTGAAGACTATCAAAGAATTAGAAAGGATGGACCTTCAAAACACTAATTTTCACATCCATATAAAACCTCTGACCATACAGCAGAAGCACGTGCACCTTTCAACAAGGATTACCCAAAACAGCTTGAGCTCCTCTGACATGTGAACTATTCCATTTAGTGTAACACAGCACTAACCTGGAAACTAAGCAACAAAATTATGACAAGTTTATATTTGCATTATGACTTTCTAGCTTTAGGTAGCTACTAAGTGAATTTATTTCCAAAATATATGAGCTAGACCTACCTTGACCACAAAAAACCACTTTGCAAAAAACTGCTGTAGTTGGAAGGTTCTATCTAAACCCAATCTGTGAAAGTTAATACCTGAAGTCAAGTGCCTAATCCATAAAGGCTGAGTTCTCTAAGCTGCTAAGCATCTAAAACCAAATCCAGGAGTTTTCAATCTTCCTATCTCCAAAAGCATTTGCTAGCTTACTTAAGAACAACATCAGGCAAAAAGTTCCTAGCTTGCACAGACAAGCCCCTGTACCAAACACTAAAGCTTGTCTCTCTCTGTACCTCCTTTAGTCATATTCTTGCACCAGCTAAGTTGAACATATGTTCAAAAGACTGCTCTCTGGAATACCACCCTCCACATTTTCACAACCCCAGTAAAAAAGTCTACCAGGTAACTTGATAAACTGGCTTCAGTTAATTGCATCAGCTTTTGATTGCCTGATACAAAATACAGTTATACAGCTGATACTTAGAAGTTCTGTGAGTATTGTAGAGAAACAGAGTTGAAGCTATTTGAAATTCAGTTCCAGATTTCATTGTTTTTACTACACGCAACCTCAATTTCTATGGGAGAAAAAGTCAACAAAGACTAACATTTTGCCCTTATATAGAGTGAGTACTTGCTGATTTGTGATCTGTATGTGTGTATTTCCCTAATTTATTTTTAAAAGTTAATGAAAAAATTCAATGAAGAAGCCATCTTAAAAATTGGCCAGGTAATTTACATATGCAGAATTGACAAAAACCAGAAGAAGATCAAAATCTATCTGCAGAACCTACTGCAAAGAGAATGAAGAGAGCTTCAGCATTTACACAGCTGAATGAAAAGGTCTGGATCCTTGTGAGCCTATGTGAATGACGAATATACTTGTATCTGTTGGGAGCAAGATCTTGCAAAGCCAGCAAGCTATGCAGGCCTTTGAGTAAGAGTTGAGGAAATATAGCTTAGGAAGCACTGAAGTTATGTCTAGGGAGTCCAAAGATGCCTGTAAGTTTCTTCCAGTGTACTCAACCCAGCATAAGCGGTTAGCATACAGTTTGCCAACGCAAACTGATTTTAAAGAGTCACTGATTTTGTACCTTTGAAAGGTCAATAAACCCATTTTGCTTTGAATTTCCATGTCAAACATTACACGGATTACTTAATATAGAACTGAGCATAAAGTGGGCCTAGAAATTAATTTAGATGATCAGAGAATTTAGTTTTGAACACAAACATGCTGTTTTGACAAAACATGCATTATAAAAAGCTCCACGTACAGTAAACAGCAGTTTATCATCACTTTTCTTACCCTGGCTTCTAAAGTCACTTTAGAGACCAGAACTTTGTATCTTGACAAGGATTACATAAAAATCCTACCACTTTGTTGACAGCCTCCATATCACAAAGGTTTTCCACTAAAATGCGACATGCTTCTTCTTTACCCCAGTGAGCAGCAGCATGAAGTGGTGTCCAGCCATCATAATCTTTAATATTTACATCGTAGCGAGCCTGTATTAAAAGCCTAAAGAAATTAAAAGAATTAGATCTTGACACTGCTGACAGAGATCAATGAAGTGTCATAAAAGCATAAAGTTATTCTACAATAACATCCTTCTTCTTTTTCATCATACATATTTTAGTTGGGCTATTGACAACTGATTAATTTTATTTCCTTACAGAAACATTTCCGTTTTCATTGTTAAGTAGGTATATGCATTTTTAAGCAAAAAAATCAAGAAAAATAGTCTTTTCCATTTTCCTCTTTATTCACTTCCTCTTCATTAGAAGTCCACTATTTCTACGCAGTCAGCTATTTTTCTCCATGTGCGGTAATAGAGAGAACCCCTTTTAAGGAAAGGAAAGGTGTAAAACGTCAAAAAATGTTGGATACAGTGTTCTTATCTAGGAAATTGTTAAAATCTCCTATTCTAATATTAGTTTCTTGAAACTTGCATCTCCCTCCTGTTAGTAACATGGGATGTAACCACCTAGTGCTTACGTGCTCCAATTGCTCTCTGAGAGGGAGCAGAGCTCCTCAATTAGAGGATCTGCTTTTCAGCCTGCATTTGGCACACTCAAATTCATGATGGTTCAAATGTGAGTGTCCAAGTGACAATGGACACGTAATCTGACAGTTTCGTGTAAAGGGCTGTCAGCTCTCTGAAACACTGACCATAATTACAAAAAATCCCATAACTGTGAAGTATTCTTCTCACAAATTTCACCCCATTTCTCAAGAGCCAATATACTAATAGTAAGATCTTCTAATGAGTCAACTTTCACACATGCTCAGCTGCAAAGTCCTGCATCCTACACAGAGCACACGTTTTTGATAATTTGAACCCATCTTGAAAGTTGCCTGCGCATACATTTTTCACGTCCTAGCAAAAGTACATGGACTGCACTACAAAAAAGACACTGAGACAGCTAAAAAAATAAACCAGTTATAGATACAATTCCCTTACAGACACAAGTTATTCTATACCAAAAAGAATTCTTTTCCAACAGAATAATTTCTTTTCATCATGGTGAAGCATCAGGGTTTTTTGAAGCAGAACTCCCATTCAGTAAATTGTATGTAATGGTTATAATGGTTAAAAGAGCTCTGTCATTCAACTTCTGTGCTGACAAAGCATTACAAGGTTCTGCAGACCTTAAAGGTAGCAATACTTACACAGTCAAGGTGTGTGCTCATTTTCATTCATGTTACAATATATATCTCTTCCTAGGACTGCTAAAGCAGTCAAATACATTTACAATCACAGTAAAGCCATGTATTATTAAATACGTTTTACTGTAGTAAAAGCAGAGCTTTAATGAAAACCCAATTAAACCTCTGTTGCAATATAGCCTGGTACTGTATTAACAAAAAGGTACCTATGAATTAGGGGGACTCCAAAAGCCTGAAGCATTCCAGGAAAGATTTCAAATGTTATGACTTACATAACAGTATCAAAAAAACCCAAAATTAAATTCTCTGTTCTTCAGGTGTAAAAACCTTTAGTCTGGATTACAAATTCTGCTTTATGAATGCAAATAAATACGGTGTTTTGAAAACATGCATCACTCAGCACACTAACCAGCACTATAAAAACGTATTAAGCTTGTTTACACAGTTGGCTTCATAAACAGGGCAATTTTTTTGTCACCTTTCTTCTTTTAAATAAGTATTCAGGCTGAATACATACACTGTGCTTATATTTTGAATGATCTGAGGTAGAAAGCTAACAGCAACATGATTTATGAGTGCTTGAAAACATAAAATCACACTCCGAAGACAGTTCTAGAGATTGCTATTTTCCAACAACTCCTAAAAGTCAGAAGTGTCCAATCCCATCCATTCCAAGCAACATTACATCAACAAGACAATCAAATCTGAAAAATTTCCATTTAAACCACACTTACTTTAAGACTTCTGTATAGCCCTTAGCAGCAGCTACATGAAGTGCTGTACCACCAGATTTTGCATGCCTGACATCACTTATATGGCCACTGTTGAGCCACTGTCTTGCATCTCTTAGCATTATTCGTTCTTCTTCTTTTCGAGCTGCCTCTATATCAACCCCTAATTCAGACAGAGAGGGCGAGAAGAGAGGACACAAAATATTTTAGTTCAAATATTTCAATTCAATTATGAAACAAATCTTGTACCATCTTTATGTGATACAATAAAATAACAGCTGAACAATATGAACAATGTTCACAGTTAGATATTAATATCTTTTGAAGATGAATTCCAAGAGGTTATGAAACATCCATTATTGCATGACACTTCGCATGCATAATGGAGTTTTTCCCAAAAAAGGAGGGGAGAGTGGGGTGGAGAGGTAAGGAGGAGAAGAAAGCCAGCAGAACAGGCTCTTCAGTTTTAAGAATGTTTACCATCACAGTAATAATCACTAAAGTGACCAATTAAAAAAGGAGAAAAAAAATATTTTAACCTTCTAAGCACCAAAACACAAGTCTGGTTTGATGTACCTGCAGAAAGTAGGAAACAGTTACAGTTTTGTATAAGGAGGTACCCATGGGAAGAGGAACAGCCTATATTCTCTTTAATGATGATAAGAATGATGGAGCTGTATTTTTTGTAATTTCTAAAGAATGTCTTGTTTGTCTTCTATTCCTGTGAAACATAAACCTGACACTCAAATAGACAAACCTTTGGAAATCTCCCTTCATACTTCAGGTAAAAAACCCAAACCACCAAAAACTGTTTATAGTACGTCTCATGAAAAATTATCACACACCAATGAAAAGGGAGGAACACAATATAACATTTATAAGTATGCACATCAGGTTAAGCACACTGAAAAAAACCCAGACTCTGAATGGGCAAAGCGAAGTGTGTATGTACGAGCATGTTTTAATTACTACCACATGAAGTAATCTGAAGAACGTAGCAGAAAGGGGTCTTGAAGAGAACTGTGCATGAGCATTGCTCTCCCTGTGCTGACTGAATGGTGACAACTTTGTGAGGAAAAGTGGCTTGGGAATTGTGGCCACCAAGAGCTCAAACTGCACCTGGCTTCACCTCTAACAGAAAATCAGTGTGACACCCTTCAGCAAAATTATTTTACATCTATGATTTGTCTAATCTTAGACCCTGGTATGCAGAGACTTGGGAAAAATATACTGTTCTTCTGTACTCTCAATTTTTAATTTTTCATGGAGCAAAGCATTAACTTGGATGTAATAAAAACAAGTGAAATCTAGAAACAGGTATTGATTTACTAGATAAAACCACAAACCTCAACAGTAGTCCTCATAGCCTCTATTACAAACGATCTTAAAAATACTTAAAGAGATAGACACTCCTTGCCTCAGATCTAATTCTACCTTCTTTCAGTATTTCCT